TAAACCGGTTAGCATTAGTGCAATTTACAAAAGATAATTCACATTTGATTATCAAAAAACCTGTACAATATTGATAATATATACTTGTATATATATATATGTAAGACCTGAATACCAAAGCCAAGACAAATAATTGTTTATCAATCTGATCGATCGCAGAGAACTGAGTTAAAACTCCTGAATTGCATCTGTATATCGTTAATCTAAAATCGCAGTTCACTAATTGCGTTTACTGTGCCAGTTGCAGTCACAGTTATCTTCCATAAGGCATTCATTAAATAGATCACACTCATTTGCTCAATTGCTAAGGATCGATAGGTGGATCGCGTGTGGAACATATTTGAAAGCGTTGTCGAATCGGTCGAGAGTCTAACACCCATTAAACAGAGTTTAATCTGTGTGGTACCCATGTGGAGTCTAGGTCGATCATATCTGGAGTCTATGTGGAACGTGGAACCCATGTGTTATAAGTAGTATGGAATCTGTGTGTAGACAAAATGGACTAGGTGTGGTGTTTATGTGAAAAGCACGAGGAACATAGGGGGATCACGAGCGGATCCCATGTGGAACGTATGCGTATATTCGCATCCCTTTCTAATAGAAATGGAACCTATGTGGAATCTGTGTACATGAAACACCAAAGCAAGGCAAAGAGAGCGAATAAAGTTATAAGAGTGAGGGCTAAGGCAGAAAAAAATCGAGTTAACATCTTAAAGAGAGTCGCGGACATAGGGATTGGATGACTTGTAAAGTTTAGAGTTGTAGAGTTTGATTAGAGTAAATCAGTTGGGTGGTTGTCTAAGCTCATTTTCAGTTAAGGATTCCGCTTGTGTGCGTGGGTGGGCGTGGCTATGGCTGTGGCTGTGGCTGTGGCCTGGGTCCGGTGCCGCATCGGTTAACAGCCAAAAGTCAAATCACAGATCCAAGGAATCCGGCGGCGTTGGCTTGGTGGGCAGCATGCCAAATGGATCGTCTACAGCGACGACGCTATCATCGTCGCTGTCATCGTCAAGATCCGTTTGGCCGATGTTACCATCACCAGCTCGGACGCCGCCGGCGCCGGCACCCACACCATCGCCCAGAAAGATGCACTCCTCCACATCCGTGTCGTAGCACGGATCCAGATTCACCTCATTCAGCTGCAGATCCAGCTCCAACAAATCCCAAGAGCCGCCGAACTCGGCCAACGGTATATTGGCCACCGCTGCCACGTCGGCCGTTGTCGGCGGCACAAAGTCATTGGAGAAGGCATCCGAGTTGCACACCAGCGAGCTGGGCGACAGGTTGGGCGTGGGCGTATCGGGCGTGGTCAGCGAGGAGACCTGCTGAACGACATGCGTCGACTCGTCGATGAACGAGCGACCCACCGAGCTCAGACTGAACTCGAGCAGCTTCTGCGCATGCGTCGCCACCGACACGGCAGACGAGGCAGCCGGTTCGCTGCTCGCTTCGGGTATAGCCGTCAGGCATTTACTGCTCGCGCTGGCGCTTGGCAGCGACTGCGTTTGCGACTGCGACTGCGACTGCATGTGGGCGGTCAGGCTGACGCTGCTGCTCAGACAGGAGCTGTTGGTGTTGAACCGGCGCAAGCAGCTGTCGCCGCCAATGCCAACAACACCGCCCACGCCATTGGGCATGGAGCCGCCGCAGCTGTTGGTGTGCGCACGCACGCCCCCCGTCAGCCGGGCGGGCGAGTTGGTGCGGGAGGGCAGCGAGGCCGTCTGTGTGCTGGCCGTGATGCGGGCATGGGCGTGATTCGGTGCTGCCCCCGATACGTGGCTGGGATGGGGCGTCGGCACCAGCGCACTGGCCAAGCGCTGCAGATTCTCATAGGAATCGGCGCTGTCCAGGCGCTTGCTGCGAAAGAGACGCACCTGCTGTTTCTGCTGCTGCTTCAGGTTGATGCTGTCCAGCGAGGGCAGTTTCATCGATCCCATCGATGCGGACGTCATTCCAATGTCACTTAACGGCACCAACGTGTTCAGCACATCCGGCGAGTCCAGCGGGCTGGACAGAGGCGTCGACCCCAATGCGGCATTCACCAGAAAGCTATTGGTAAAAGCAAAATCAAAGCAGAATTGGTATAGAATCGGATGATATGGGCATTGGAAAATTCTAATTTAGTTATAATTTAAGCTATTGAAATAAATTCCTCGGAAATAGTAACAATTGTGCTTGGTTAGCCTTTGAAAGTTTTTAACGTGGAAGTATATGCAAGTAGAGTAGCATCCGGTTGTAACGATTCCGCCTATAACATTCGTCCGGTTATTGCGACGAAAATTCAATGTCTTAGCTGGATCCCACAGACATATAAGAAAGGATCTCCGCTAGGTTATAGCGCCCTCCGGGTACTACCATCGGTAGGTTAAGCGTCGTTATAACCGGATTCTATTGTATATATGAAAATGTTACAATTATTCCATAGAACACGGCCCATAAAGAAACCTCTTATTCGTGGAAATAGAAACCAGATGGATCCCAATACGCCCCATTTAAGCAGCTCGTGTTAGGTAATCAAGCCAAAGAAAGCAAGTTGTAAATGTAAGGTATGAAGAACGTTCGATATGCATTCAATCCCTTATGGGGTATGGTACTAGAATGGATGAAAAACGTCAAACGAGTAATTAAAAGGCTAAGGGACTCTTTCCATCCCGTTGGATGAGAAATTTCGTTGGGCAACAAGTCATAAAAAGCTTGACGAGTGTTTGGAAGCCAAAATCCTATATCCTACAGAAGTACAGTAGAGTCCGGCTATAACCGTACCACTCATAGCATCCGTACGACAACATATATACTGGCGTCCCTCGGGCTTAACGACGGTCCCTTTAGCTCTCTGATACTCAGATTCTACTCTACTTACAAATTCATTCGGAAATTAGTCAAAACTTACATTTGACGCTGTAAAAGATTCTGCCAGACGGCCTTCAGCTCCAGCGAGGGTGCACGCAGGATAAGGCTCTTCCGCCTGGCGCCCCGCTTGGGCGTGCGACTCAGATCCGGTGCACAATATCCTGTGGGGCTTTCGGCCAAACGGCCGTTAGGATCGACAGTCAGGCGGAATTCCGTGGCTGTGAATAACAAAAGGGTTTGAGATGATATTCTAAACCCTAGCTGAAACACTTTGACTGTACTCACTTTTCTTACGCATGTGAAAGCAGGAGTCGACGACGTTGGCTATGGGTATGGGCTCCTCGGTGATGAACAGGACGCGATCTCGACTGACCTTGGCGAACACAATGATGTCGCTGAAGAGCAGCGTCCAGTAGGGCTTTATCGAGCGCCCCTCGACGCGGGACAGATCTCCGCCGAAGATCCACTGACGGCCCTGCACGGCCAGCGTAAAGGGCTTGCACTTGGTGAACACCATGCGGGACTCCAGGTCCTGCAGGGTCAGAAGCGGTCGGCCCTCGCCCAGGGGCTCCATCAGGCCGCTGCTGACGGTTATCTCGCGATAGGCGGCCTGCAGCTCACCGATCACAGTGGTAAAGTTCTTGTGCTCCTCGGTGTCCACATGGCAATTGCTGGCCAGCAGCTGCATCAGCTTCAGAATCTCCCTGAAGTGCTGCAGCGGTCGATGGATGAACATTGTGAGATCGGGCCGCCTGCGCGGCACAGGTGGCTCGGTGATAAAGGCTACAAACTCGGAGCCCGTCTGACGGGACTTGTTCACCAGGACGCAGTCGGCCCGCTTGATGCCATTGCAGTACTTCTTGTAGGCGGCGCAAATCGCCGTCGTCTTCGACAGATAGACCCGCGAGGCAAAGTTCATGTGCGGCTCCTGCTCCTGCTCGTTGCTGCAGAGCTGCTCCAGTATGTCCTCGGCAATGCGCAGCAGCTCATCAATGTTCTGAAACAAGGTCCTATGATCGTTCGGCGATATTAGGTCCTTCCGCTCCTGCAGTGGCTGCACAAAACGCTGCAGTCCGAAGTGGAGTGCCGCCGTAAAGTTCTGCTCCCGACTGATGAGCTGCAGCAGAAAGCGTCGACGGTTATCCGTTATGGGCACAATGGACTGCGTCGATGCATGACCAATGAGAGAGACAGACAGACAGAGAGAGAGAAAGAAGCATGAGGGTTACGTTAGCTTAAGTAAAGTTCTAGCTTGAGCGTGTGCTAGACGTAACCATTCTAGGAATTATCCAAACTATTCAGAACTATCCTATCCTATCCTATACTGGATTGATATCTGTATAAATAACGCCTCGAACCAACGCCCTCATTAGGCTTTGACTGCTGATTAACCTGTATGTGGGTTGACATATTCACATCATTATTATTCATATGCTAGAACTCAATTCAAAGAAAGTAAGAAACGATGGATACTTTAATGACAGTCTTAAGGATCTACCTAAGGTTCGCAAAAAACTGTCCATTAGATGGTTAAGAAGACGAAAGCCTAAAAGCCTCTTCATCCCTTAATCTAATCTAATCTAATCCAATCTAATCTAATCTAAGACTCGGTGAAGATAGTTGAGTAAATATAAGAAATATACATATATATTAAACTAAACAAAGCATATAGAAATCCTGTCAGTAAATCAATGGAAAATATATCTAGTCCATGTATATTAATCCCAATTTGGATTCCTTAATCCTGCCTGGATGATACTCGCATTTCATTTGACATAGTGTGTAAAATAGCTTTTGGATTGAGTTGTGCTGATTGTAACCGAGACCTTTAACCTAGAGCCTAACACTATGCAAAGCAAAAAGGAAGAAAACCCAATTAAAATGGCAATTAAGAGAACGGAAACAGCTCGTGAGAGCTCCGAGAACCCACCGCACGAGGAAACTTAAAACCTTCGTCAACGAAAGCGAGGCAAAGCAAAAACAATAGTAAAAGCAAATAAAACCGAAAAAAAACTTTATTGTCAAGCAAGGGATGAGGAAGTTTCAGACGGGCTTAGGGGGTACAAAAAAAATAGAGGTATATATACATATGTATATATGTTTCGCAGGGCAAAAACTTAAACGTTAAAACTTAACAATAATGCGCTAAACATATGTACAAAGTGCAAAGAGTAAGGCAAATCGAAAAAAAAAAAAAAAACAAATAGAAAAAAAATATTTAAGCACATTTCATAAGTAAAGACAAATTCAATAAGAAACAACTAAAATTAGCAGCGGTCGGGGCGGTCGTGTGGTTGAGTGGTTGAGTGATTGAGTGGTTGGGTGATTGAGTGGTTGGCTGCTTGGTCTCAGACAATGACGCCCTTGCCTACCTCCTTGCTGAACGTGACCTGGGGCAGGTGGAGCCGCCGCTTGGCCGCCTCAATGGAGGAGGTAGTGCCGGAGCAGGCGGTGGCCGGCCTCGACAGGGTGTTGCCCAGCAGCTGGGGGCGAACGCTGGCGGTGCGCTGCTGCAGCGCCACAACGCTGGCTGGCTGMTCCTCTAGTCCATAGAGCAGCTGCTGGCTGCGCAGCTGCGACTGCTGCTGACTATGGATGACGCTTCCCGTGGCTGCGCCTGTGCCTGTGCCTGCGCCTGCGCCCGTGGCTAGGGCTGTCGGTGTTGCCGTGCTAATGGTGGTGGCATTGGTGGCATTGGTGGCCATGTTGGCGCCCGCGCCTGACCTTCTGAATATCTCCAACGTTAAGGACGAGCCCTGCGATCGTATCAAATTCAGAACATCAGCCTCGGGCATCGTAACCACATTGTGCTTGTCCACAAAGATGACATAGTCGCCCGGCAGGATGCCGCAGCGATCCGCTGACAGGCCCGCCTCCACCTTCTCGACGCGCGGCGGATGCGTCCACACAATGGAGAAGCCAAATCCGCGCTCCTCCGTCCGCGTCAGCCGCTTGGTCATCGTGAACGGCGTGCGTCCCGTCGGCTGACGGCCGCCACCGCCGCTGTTGCCCGGCAGCGTCGAGCAGCGCCGTGTGCCGTTGCCGCCGTTGAGATGATTCGCATTGCTGGCATTCGCATTGTTGGCATTCGCGTTCGCATTGGACATGGCGTTCGCATTGAGTGTGCCGGCCGACGTGCTGCCCGTGTTGCCGGTGTTGGCCGTGGTGCTGTTCGCATTGCCATCGGCGGGCGGGTCCAGCTCGAGGAAGCGCAAGAACAGATTCTCATCGGCATCGCGCTGGTGCAGCGCCTTCTTGCTGAGCACCATCGTCGGCTGCTGCAGCGCGTCCTCCTTGTCATTGCCCAGCGGACCGACGGCGGCAGCCATGCTATCGATGCTGATGCTGATGACATCATCGCTCAGCACGGCTGTGCTCGTGGCTGTGGCTGTGCTGGGGGCTGTGGCTGTGGCTGTGGCTGTGGCATTCGGTTTCACTGTAGCCGCCATCGTGGACATCTCAACCGCTGCGGGTCTAGCGTTATCAGTCGCTGTAAGCTGCTCCTTCACCTGCTCCCTCTCCCTCTCCCTCTGCTTCCTCTCGATTGGCTTCCCCTCGGTACGGCTTGTGGGCGTTGCGTGGACTGGGACGTGCGGTCTGCTGCTGCTACTGCTGCTCGTGCTGCGGCAGCTATGAAGGCATCCCTGCGAGTGTAGCTTGTAGGATCCAGTTGCGCCGAGGCTCTGCTGCACTAAAGCGCTCAGTGGAAATGTGAGGCAGCCGAGGAACTCACTGCGTCTGCGAACATGAAATTTAATGAAATTGAATGTCAGTCAGCGAAAAGCGAAAGGTCTTCTCATATGGAAACAGCATGCATGCAACCTGAGACTGAGTGCCACAGCGTGCGCCTAATTAGATTCACGAGCCACTTTGAGCTGACAGCAGCTACCCATTTATCTATTATATGCAATGGAACTTTAAACCTCTTTGAGTTTACTTTACTACAAACTTATTTGCATATCCAAACCGACTCGCAATTAACAAATCGAGCTACACTAGTCAGAGAGTGTGTGAGAGAGAGAGAGAGGAGGAGCGTGGGACTAGCTACTTCCTCTCTAGATCCGAAAGCTAATTCACAGTGCGCCGTGCGTAATAGACTGACTAGCTCGAAAACACAAACGATTAATAGAGGAGATAGGCAACGCACGACGTCGGACTACAAAGTGGACTAATGGAACTACCCGAAGGTAAATTGTACCAAAGAGATCTCGGCGATAGCTAAATAGCCTACACGAATGCCGGGCGCAAGTTGACCTTTTCGAGGAAGCTCCAAGTGAATCCAACAAATCATGAACTCCATTTGGCCAAGGGCAGCTCGAGTGAGTCCTGTCCCAGGACTCTGACTGGAAATAGTTTCAATGACGTCTTATGAGATTAGATTTTTTGAACGCTTTGCGTCACGTTGCATTACCATTTTGTTTACCATTTTTACGGACCCTCCCTCCCTCTCTCGCCCCTCCCTCTCCCTCTCCCTGTCGCTCTGTCGCCCTGTCAGTGCTCGCAACACTTCCGCCTCCCCCAGCTTGGCAGGCAACAGCTGCGGTACGTGACATAAATCAATTAGCGCCAACTAAGCTGTCATGGCTTGGCATTCCAACAGATCCACAACGCAGCGATATGTCGGCTATGGGTGGGCGGAACGGAGGGACCCCCGGAAATGCGCCTCAGCCTTCCTCTTCTTTAGGTGCTGTAGGTGCTCTAGGTCTGTCCGCTTTCAAATTTTGCCCGCGCGTATTTGGGTCAGTTTTATTGATTTTCATTTGCTGCAGCAGCGCCAAAGTTGGGCGATTGCAATCGCAACTGTCTGACGGACAGTTTCGGCTTTGGGCCCAGCGCTGGAAGGCGGGCACAAAGTTCAGGGGGGGTGGGGGCAGGGCTGTAGCGGCGGCAGCAAGGACTTGAGGGTCCTTTCGATTTTCGGCAAAGCTCGCCCGCGCACGCCAGGGCAAAAAAAAAAAAAAAAAAACGGAAACCGAAACAGAAAGGAAAGAAATAAACACAAATGGGGCCAGTGCATTAAAAATGTAGCAGGCTGCGTAGCTAGTTGCGACAGAAACTGTTGCCACCTGCCTTGCCACTGCGGACGGCAGCTCATGGGCTGAACACTTAACCCTTGCCACAGGCCCATCAAAACGGTAAATGAATTATTTAGCGAATAGTCGTTGGGCAAATTTACTTAAAATGCTTAACGAGGCATTTGCAAATAGACGACAACAAGGAGAACTATTTTTCAAATGTTTTCATTATGCATGCATAACAAGTGCGCCAGGTGTGTGTGCTCGTGTGCTCTGTGAGTGTGTGTGTGTGTGTGTGTGTGTGTGTATGTGCAGGTGTATATGGTCCCAGGTGTGCATTTAACTAACTGCCTGCTTCAATTAGCCAGGAAATGGCATAGCCTCTGACCTGTGGCCATTGCATAATGTGGAGCGCGCTTATCGATTTGACATAAACGCAAAAAGCGATATGAATGACCAAATGTGTGAATGCGTGCATGACGGAATGACGGAATGATGGTTTGATGGTTTGCATGAGCAGGCCAGCTGCCGTGTCCTTGAATTTCAATTAACTTGGCCATTGAGCGCGTTGCTAACTACACTCACACGCTAGCTAGCACACACACACACACACACACAGACACAAGCACGCACTGAGAGCAGCGCGAGGCACAAATATTAAGCAGCATGCCTAAAATTATGCTACACAAAAACTCACATACTAGCACGCGCACACGCACGCTGGCTAGCGGCTGGCTTTTTTTTTTTTTTTTTTTTTT